GGACGGGGAGGGGTGTGGGGGGGAGAAATAAAATGATTTATCAAGTGCAGAAAAGCAGCAGAGCTGCTGCAGGTCAGGGGAAGCCAAGGCTGGAGGACCCACACAGATGAGCAGATGGACTTTTTGGAGATACCGTGAAAAACTTGTAGTCTCTTTCCTAGGAGGTGACACAGCTTCCCTGCCAAAGCCACTCTCTCACAACCTAGCCACATCCCCATGCTCAGGGTACGATACACTCACCTGCCACCCAACTACTTGGGAGCAAGCAAGAAGATTGGAGGGGGCAGTGGTTCGCTCCAAGGAGAGGAACAGACCACAAGAGCACGAGTGATGGGGGAATGTGCCGGATTTCCTTCAAAATACTTGTTGCCTCCAGCTCTCCTACTGCCCCTCTCTATTTGCATCACAAGAAATGCTGAAAAAATTTTGTTTGATCTCTAGCTAAAAGGGCAAGGGGTAGCCTGGATCTCAGAGGAGCAGCTGATACACCACACCACAAGACATCACTGGTTAAAATGGAAAAGGCAGCGAAGGATGGATGAGGAACAGCCCAGAGGGGAAGCAGAACAGGTGGCATTTAGAGAAGAAATGTTGGGCTAAAGGCAGGTCACTGTTGCAGTCCAGGGTGACCTTATGTTTAATTTTGTTTACTGCTTTTATGAATACTCAAGGCATGAAACGCAGTAGTACACAGATGGCACAAAGTTACGAGGCATCTGTAAACGATTGAGTCAGAAGAAGACCAGCTTGCTCAGCATCATAAACTGGAGGTCAAGAGAGGAAATGTGACTGCCTTCCACGTACAACGTAACTCTCCAAGGAAAGAAAACTGGGGGAGCCAGGGCTGGCCACGCTGGGGGACATGCTGGCCGTGGGAAACATTAGGAGACTGTTCCTAGCTAGTGTGGTAAAGACTGAAACTGTACCATTTTAATTTTAAGGGCTGAAAAGTTTCAGTTGTAGAAACCACAGCCCTGACAATCTCTGGGAAAAGGTTCTTGCCACACAGTAGGGATTTCACAGTAAAGAGCTTCAATCCCCTTTACCTCCCTTCCCTCTGCAGGCCTGATGGGTGTAGAACAGCAGAAACTGCTCCTTACCATCTGGCCGGGATGTGGCACAGGGCTGGGCATGCCGCCGTACTGCAGAGAGCGAGGGAAACCTCGTCCGTTGGAAGGGCCAACTTCTCGAGGAGGTTGCATTGGGTTGCCACTTGGATCCTCTGCAGAGGACGAGGAGAAGGAGGAGGAAGAGGAAGAAGAGGAAGAAGCAGGAGCCCTGGAAGTAGCTCGATATGGTGGAGGTTTTCCTCCGTTTTCCAGGCGTTGCTGCCTCTTGCCTGGTCCATCTGGGTCTCGCGACCGAGTCCAAACACTGCCTGTGCTGGAGCGGCCAGTCCGCCGGCTCCTCTTCTCTCTTCTCCCATCTTCTCTGATCCAAAACTCCTCATCTGTGTCTCCATCTTCCCCAGGGAAGTGCTTCATCATTGCTCGGTGGAAACACCTCTCTAAGTTGTAAGCCATCTTGGTATATTCTGCAGTCAAAAGAACCCAACATCAAGGACAGAGCCTTATAGAGAGAAACTATTAAGCAACATCAGACTTCCCCATCAGATAAATCATCTCCCCTCCACTAAGTTTCTTTGAGGAAGACTTTTGTTTCTAACTAGTTGACTTTGGTTTATGTTCTTAAACTCGATAAGCCATGCAGCATCAGATTTGTTCAGTAACCCCACTAGAGGACAGGCACATAGACATTACAAAGTACCAGTAGCAGCACGGCTTGCAGAGTAAGCATTAACCCAGTGTTCCAGCATAGTGCCAAAAATTACATTAGGAGAAGCACCACCTCTTCTCGCAGAGATGCATGACCTGCACAGTTAGCCAGCAGAGTGCTGAGAGAAGAAATGTGAACTTCCAGCAATACTATTTGATTACATTCAGAGGCTTTTCTTGGACTCATTCAAATCTCTGCTGTATGCTACAAGACAGAGGACAATCAGCAAACATATTTATCCATGTGCAGTTTCTAAAGCACTCGCTGACCCTGCCACGAAAGCTATTGCCAGCACCAGTGTCCCCATTGCGTCATTTCCACAGGACAGTTCTGCTTAGAGGGGCTCCTACTTTTTGTTAGAGTGGATAGGAAGGAAAAGACATATGAGAGGTGTTAATGACAAGGGCTTGAAGTAAATGACTTTCCAGTTGTTTCCACTAAACTAACCCAGAAGTTCCTCGGGAAACAGAGCGGAATGCTTTTACTTGGGGCCCACAGTGACAAGCTGGGTAGCTCTATTTTCCCTTTCAAGGCGGTGCTGGTGAGACACAGTCTACAGTGATGACCCACCATATGGGAACTGATTTCTTACCTAAGCAACAGGCAGAATTTTAACTGGCATGGCAATTAAACCCACGGTTTCCCATTGGCAGTCATGTTGTTCATTCAATAGCCAAGGAACCTAAAAACTACTTTTTTCATCCAAAGGACTAAAAGCTCAGTTCATTCCTCACTTTTCTGTAGTATTGAACGAACACTGGGAGCTCACCAGACTCCAATGCTTTTCAAAGTCTGTGTTAGATATTATGAGACAAAGGAGCACAGAGACACACAAGCACATGAAGGAATGAGGTCAGAAAGAAACAGGCTTTCTTCTCTTTGTACGTTCTGCCTTCTCCATTTACCAACATGAGAGTCCCTTAGTATGCCATGCCCCCATTCTGCATGACCAAATTGAGCTAAAAACCTCACTAAAATCCCAGGCCTTATTGCTCAGGAGCTCCTACTCTTTCATCTGACCTCCAAAAATACCCCGAAAGAGAATAAGCATGTATCAAGTACTGGTGAGTAGGAAGACATCACTGCTTGCTTTGACTGAGCACTGCAAATAGATGAACTTAGCATCTTGCTGCTCTTACCACTGCCTTCACCATTGTACTTAAGACAGTTCCTGAACATGGTCTTCATATCGCCCACAAATTCTTCCTTGGTGCAGTACTGACCTCCATTCAACTTCTTCTCCATGCTAGAGATGTCCATGGGGGCCTGAAATGCAACAAAACCTCTCTTCAGTTACAGCAAGTGTAGTGGGGCTTACAAAGTTGCCTAGCTAGCTAGCTTCCTCACAGTGAGAGGTTGGGGAACGGAGGCTGTTTCCTGCAAGGCAGCCTCTCATCTTTGGTTTCCTTGCCTTGTAAAGCTAGAAGGGACTACTGGAGTCATGCAGTTTGACTGCGAGGGTAACGCACCCCACAAAACTTCAAAACACTTCCAAAAAACTGCATCCCGATCAACAAAGTGCATCAATCAAGATGGCTGGACCACTTTTCATACCTTAATGATCTGGTAGTAGTTGGGAGCATATGATTCATCAACAGGCTCCAAGAAGGGCCAAGAGTCCTTGTGAGCCTTTACCACATCTAGAACTGGCAGTAGCAAAAGAAAGGTGAATGGTTACATACACACGCCCAGGGCAGTATTTCACTTTGAGCAAGTCATGCAAAGGGGAAGGCTGGGGCAGGACTAACCTTTGTACATGGCCGTGAACTCATCATCCAGTTCAAAGCTGTAATGGGAAGCGCAACGGTGAATATGCAGACTGAGGACATATAAGACCTGCTCTTGTACTTCATCTTCCCTTCCATCCCATGCACAGTGTCATAATGCTGACAAACAGGCCTCATCAGAAACACTTCTCTAGTGTGGAGCAAATCTGGATGTTTCTCAGCTTACTCCTTGCTATTCTCCAACCTCACTTCTCCCTCTTCATTCCTGTGAATGATCACACTCCTCTCCTTCCCATACTCACTACGTCAATGCACTCGCATGCTGCATGCCCAGCTGCATACTCACAGATCCCTGGTCCTTCGCTCTTCCCTGGTAGGGGAACTGGGATCCAAGTGGGAAAGCTCAGGGGGAAGCTCCTTCCCCTGCGCCAGCAGCCAGGCCCGCTCTTCACGAAGCTTCCTCCTCCTAGCCCGTTCTGCAGTGGGGAGGGGAGAGAGGTGAAAAACCATTCAGTACTCCTTGTCAACAACATCTTGCAGGGAAAACGAAGTGAGCTCCTGCAGCTCTCAAGAACTCCAGCGAAATGTTCTTGTTCTTTCAGCAAAAGCAGCAACAGCACAGGAGCAGAGGAGGTGAGAATACAGCGCACCATCAACATGCTTCTTCATTTTTCCTTGACTTTACAATCATTGATTTTGAAGTATTACTGTGACACAGATGGTCCCCTAGGCAGCTTCCAGACAAATTCCTGACCATGGTGTGGTACAAAGAAAGAAGTTGATCTAGGCATAGATCAGCACTATGGAAAGAGCTGGCTTGTTAAATTACCATCCTTCAGATGCTTCACTCAGCCAGGTGAACTGAAGGCAGCTGGTTTTGCATTGAAGCAGATGAAGAGCAGTACTGAGGCAAGCGTGAAGTTCTACCAGCTGTGTGGCCATAAGTAACTGGGGTCATTAACATCCTCCACCACCGTGGATAGCTTTGGGAATATTGCTCAGGTAAGCCTTCACAGCCAGAGCGAGCAAGCTGCCACATAGGAGGGCCACTGGGACAGCTTTGGTTTAAGAGGTGAGAGACAGGAAGAAGCAACGCTGGTAATATAACCTGTGGTTTGCAACCAGACAGCTGGCTAACAGATTGCTTCATAATAGAAAGTTTATGGGCTCTTATGAATTTAATTTCCTTTTTCTTATAGGAAATCTGAATTCATTTGACTTGCTAAACACCTGCAGTTGTACCAACTTTCTGCTGGAGCAGAATTCTGTGAAAGTAGTGTTCAAGGAGAGATGTCATAGGAGTAAGACCCCAGAAAACAGGCCACATCAGGGAACACCCAGAGTGAAAGAATACCCTCTAGCAGAGACTCCATCTCTGGACAATGCCAAAGACTCAAGAAGCACCAGCTCTGGTGGAAGAGTATTAATTTACTGTTTTCCCCTCTCAGTCAAAAACAAACTTGGGGTGGGCGTTGAGGGGACAAGAAAACTAGGAATAGTTTTCTACTACAGGGTGGGTATTTTCAGGGAGGTCCATGGCCATGTATGTCAAAGACTGGTAAAGGAAAGTCTAAATTTCCCATTAGACGACTCTGGGTAGCACTGAAGCTGGGAGGACTGGACTTGCATCTGAGATGTCCTACAGAATCTATCAGCATCTATTGTAACATTTAATGATGAGAAGTCCAATATTGAACTGCAGTTAGCAGTCTGTCCAAGCACAGTTCAGTATTGCATGCTTCTTTTGTAAAATTTGCATCAATTAGACATCCATAATAACATCATCTAAGTGAGAAAGCTGAGGAAAACATGTGGCAATGATTTGGGCAGCAAAAGGAAAACCTCATGGCAACAGCAACCAAGAGGTAAGGTGATGTAGATTTTAGAAATCTATCAATGCCTGCTGAGGCTCTGACCTGGTAAACTGACAGTAACTGGGGAGAGCTACCCTGGTACCAGACTGCAGCTCAGTCAGGATCAATGGCAGGTTCCTCTACCACAGCAAGTGATTAACATAGCATGTTAAAGATCACTGGCAGAGCTTGTTGTCATGCTGTTGACATGGGTGGAGTCCTACCTGCCAGCTATCAAAAGCTAACCCATGCCCTGAAAAGTACCTCAAACAGCTAGAAAGTCATACGTGTGAGAGGTAATATTGGAGCAGCATCTGGAAAGAGTACTGGGAAACTCTAACCTGGTGTCATGGTAGAAATCTAGAAAGCTGCTCTAACTCATAAATTCAGGAAAGTACAGATGGGTCTAGCAGGAGGCTCACTACCTGGGGCGTGCACGCGTTGGAGTTAGGGGAAGCGAAATCTCAGACTGGAAACAGGAACGTGATCTAAAAACAGGCATACAGTCCAAAACTAAGAAGCAGGTGAAGTGCTGATGAAGTTCATCACAGAGCAAATATTTCATCCTGTGTTTCACATCACTCCTCTACAGATGATCTTACAAAATTAATGTGAAATCCCAAAAGAACTGCAAAATACAAGAAAATCTTTGTTGCCCTAAAATCTCTGTCGATGGATGTCCAGTTTTAACAAGTCTGAACCAAGCAAAACAAATGACTTCCTTTTCAAATCCATTTCTCTCCATCATAAGAACTGTCATGAAAGTAAGTATTAATGGAAGGTGTGCTTGGCAATACAGAAAGGTGGTTAAGAAGCCGAAGTGTTACCTGGGTAGCTGCGGTTTCCAGGCGTGAAAAATACTGCAGTGATTTAACTGAACAAGTCAGCCATTTAAATAACCTTTCTAAACAGCTTTTGCACCAGCCTAAAAGGAGACAACTTCTGACTTAGACTAAACTGACCAGGGACAAGTTTTAATTAAACTGAAAGAAATTGCACAAACCAAAATAAAAACATCTCTGCCAAGAAAAGCATGAACATATGTTAAACTTGCTTAAAACAGTTTACTGGCCAAACCCATACCAGCTTCTTTTGAGTGTCTCCGGTGCCTTTGCACCAGATGATGGAGTGATTGTATTTACCCAGAAAAGGACATGGTTCATACCAAAACTACAGGTACATTTATCTTTGCAGCTCTTCCGGAACTTCAGGACTAATTTTGGCTATACAGATGGAGAATTAAAGCACAGAATATGCAGTTTGCCAAGGTGAAACAGGTATCTGTGGCAGATATGGAAGCTGGATGATTCTGAGTTTAAAGCACTGGATTAGCCGGGACTGGCAACCAGGAATACATGAAGGCCAAGCAAGTAATTGGATTTTCTGAAGGTTAGAAAAAGCAGGTAAAAGAAACTATTCTTAGATAATATCTGGTCTGCTACCAAACATCTGGTAGCAGACTGTTTCATCTTGGAAAGTTTACAAGGTTTGCATGAACTTAATCTTTCTTCCTTTTCTGATTCTTTATCTACTTAAGGATTCATGATACTGCCACAGTTTTCTGAAGATGTTCAGCATTTCCCTGGAACCGCAACAGCCCAGCCAGCCACTGCGGCAAAAGCAGCAGGTAAAGGAATCCCTGTAAGGGAGGCTGACAGAGAGAAGGTGGTCAGAAATGAGCCTGCTCTTAGACACTAGTGCCTACACGCATTGGCGGAACATCTGCTGTCTGTACTTCGACCTGACTTTTTAAACACAACACAGTTATTTCTTGCAGAACAGCTTAAATCAGTATTTAATTCAAAACCACGGAAAAACAAAACCAACACCTGAAGTTGCCACCTGCCGGTGCTCTGTTTAGCCTAGTCCCTACATATTTAGTTCTCCAATTGACGAGGCCAGTAGCAAAATAAAAATACTACTCTTGCTACTCTCACGTTGTACCCTTCCCTTTCTCCTCAAGGAAAAAGGCCATAGCAGGAGCAAAGCCAGGTAATCCTGCACACGGGGAAATTCATGAGGACTCAAGTGGGGAGACAGATGAAGAGAACTGAGGAACAACACAAACAGCAGGAGAAAAATACAGCTGGGGCAAGGGAGAAAATAACTGTGATTTGAGGAAGCAGACACAGCTGCAGGGTGCACCAGAGAACAGTCACCAACACCAAGAAACTATAGTCAAGCCAATTTATTTGAGGTAAGCGCAAAAAAAGATATTCCCATTCACATGTCTGGCAGGGGAGGAATGCAAATGCTTCATTCAATATCTCAATCTCCGCTTTGAAAGCTTCTGCCCCTGCTTCACACTGGCTGCACGTACCTTCCACTGCTTTGACTTTCTCCTCCATCTCTCTTTTCCTCTCCTCCTTTAGCAGCTGCTCCTGCTCCCGCTTCTGCACTGCTATAAGGATTTGGCGCTCCTCTTCTTCCTCCCTGCGCCTCTGCTTCTCCATCGAACTCAGCACATTTGGGTTTACCTGTGACAAAATGAGGCACCAAAAACTGTAATGCGTTGGCTTATTGAAGTCTGAGCAGAGGCAGGTTTACTCTGAGCAAGTATTAAAGCATACCTACAATGAATGGCTGGGGGGTTAAAAAAAAAAAAAAAAAAGGAAAGAAAAGGATTTGTACATATGAATTCTCAGATGAAAAGCAACATGTAAAGGAAAGTTATTTGTCAAGCAATGAAACCCTACTGATGCAGGGACAAAGGAAGGAGAAGCAATGGGTTAGACAAGCTGTCACTCCGCCAGGGACACACTGCGTGTATTTCCCTTCTGTGAAAAGGATTCAGGCTGTTGACACCCCCACACAACATCTCTACCCCTTCCAGCTAGTGGAGTCCTGAGTTTCGAGTGTGAGCAGAAACAAAAACTCTGTTGAAACTGGGTCTGCTGTAAAACACAGAGTACTTAGGATAGAAAAAGAGACTGGTACAGCCTTGCATCAAGGTATTGTTTGGAGTTTTTCCTTTCTTGTTCAAAATAAGGCCCACCGCATTTCTGTGTGCTAATCTCCCCTGAACTAGCTCTCACTTGTTTGTTTGGATGGTTTACCTGCTGGGTCTCCTGACCGGTTTTCTCATTCGAGGACGCCTGGCTCTTTATTGCCTTGCTTCCTCACCTCCCCAATGCCAGCAGGCTGCTCAATCCTACTTAGGCTGCCTGTTTCCCAGACCAGGGATTGCCTGCTCCTATTTCTCTAACAGAGTGCAAGGTATGTGTATGGCAGCATGGAATTACCTTTATTAGCTTAATTTAATTATAAGACAAATGAATCTCTCATCCACCAGACACTCCCACCTCTTTTGACTTCTGCAAGACCAACATATGTGTGCCTTATCAGCAGAGAATATCAACTGGAAAAGAACAATGTATACAGTTTTCTCTGCCTTCATTTTCAGGGAATAACCAGCAACCACCACTTAGGCAGAAGGCATTTCCTGAGGATTAGCAATCAGCTGGGGTCCCTTGGCTGCTGCTCAGACCATCGACTTCTCCAGGCCCATTATTAATCCCCAGAAAAAAATCTGGCACCATGATTACTATTTTGTCCTTGTTTCATTGCCTAGAAGTGGAACCTCAGGGTGTTTTGATAAATGCCTAGAAATATTGTCTGGTTTCACTGCATATTCATTCCCCCTCTGCCTCCACTTCCCCTATACAGCACTGCCCTAAAATCTCCCCCTGTATCTCTCTGTGGATGAGCATCATGCATTATCTCCCTGTCGCCAGCACCAACAATATATTAAGAAAATTAACAATATACTAAGAGAATCATGCTTCAACCACCAACAGCCATGGAGAAATATCCAAGAAAGGGTGATGGGACTCTTCATAACATTAGGACCATATCCTGCATCTGGGGATAGACTGGACAGCAAAAACACCTATTTTGTGCTGATCCTTTTTAGGCAAGCCCCACAGCACAATCTCACTAGGGAACTCACCCCATGTTCTTTTCCTTTTTTAGATCTTTGCCAACTATTAGTACTTTACTCTTCTATCACTTTCCTAGGGAAACCATTCTGTGAGGTCACAGGCCTTTATGTTAGCCTGGTTCTCTTCACATTCAGTCTAAAGTTAATTTTTCATCCCCTCATTCCATCCAATTATTCCTAGTTACACTCTTCTGGGCAAGCATAAATCCTCCTCTTCTTCAGCCACATTCCAGTCTTTATGGGCTTCCTCAGACACTTACACAAAAATCCTGCATTTCGGTAATTAGGTTAAATGTTTCCTAATAAAGCAATCCTTCCAACTCCTTGATCATTCCAGTAGTCTGCCTTGGGTCTTTCCTCCAACTGATCAATATCCAAATACCAGGATGCACAGGACTGAAACAGCTATGTCAAGTACAAGAGGTCAAGAACGTATAGAACCAGGTACTACATTTCCACTCAAAAGTGGAAATATCCCTTTATCAATCACTCCACCATTTTATTTTCTAGTCATGCACTGCAAACATCTTCCTTTCAGGCCTGATCCTGACCACGATCAACCAGTTTTCCCCTAACTCTTTTGACCAATCTTTAAATTGCAATAGAAACCAAATGTGTCAGGTTCTGCAACAATTAGTGACAGGTGAGCAGGAACCAGCCACCAGAAGTTGATACACCAAGATATTCTATTGAGGATGTGACCTTAGATTCTCCAGCCGATAGATCTAAGCCAGCCTGGCGTGTCACACTAATTTCTTCAACTGTTGCTGCACAGGTCAGACCTTCCTTTCCCTGGATTCATACAGCTTCCACCATTCATGTCCTATGGAAACATGAACACAACATCCAAGCCACAGGGCTCACACTAGGACCTCTCCAAGCCCGCAGGGTGCCTTCAGCACCCTATATTGTAATGGCACAACACAGAATCCATAGCACATTCCGGATCAATGCACCACAAATATGGCATCCACAAAGCAACGGGACAATTTTAAGCAAAGGAGAGAACATCATCCTAGCAGATCTAGGAAGAGAAGAAAAGGGAAAAGCCAAAACCCCAAATGCAGCATAGTGAGCACCAAGGACTGCAGCAGACAGCCGCGACAATTCCACTTGCTCCCTGCAGCACTTGCAGGGCAGTGACAATGCTGACATGGGCTCTTCAAGACACTTCAGACACAGAAGTAGCCTGATTTTCAGACGAACCTACTGCCTGGTGTTCCACTTAAGCACATGGGAGCTGAGGGGGCTCAACTCAGTGTTAAAATATAAGCAAACAAACCCAAGTAAACTACTGGATATAACGGAGGCAGACGCCTATTAGAATGATAAAAGCAAGAATCCAAGACAAGTTAAACTTCCTTCCTGAACAAAGAGGTGGCAAAGGGACATTTCTCCAGCTTCCTCCCCACTTGGAGGATGTAAACCACCCTTCGCATCTGCGACCATGGCATCACCACCTCCTTCCCTCCGCCAGAGAGCACTCCAGGACACAACATCGCTGCCTCCTCCCCCGGGACCCCAAAAGGGCCAAACTTCTGCCTTTATGCTTTGCTCTCCAGACAGCGGGTATCAGACTTCAGGGGCAGGAGGCCAGGAGGTGCGGGCGCCCCGACCCCCTCTAGCCACACGCCCCTACCCCTCGCCCTCCAAACCTTCCCTGCTCTGGTTTCCTCAGTGTTGCCCTAATGAGGGTGCTGCTCAGGCGGCTCTTTAATGAGGAGCTAATCTGAACCACCTGTTGAGAAATCCCCTGCAGGATTAGGAGCCTACGGAGCATTTATATCTTGGACCAAAGCGGCATCCAGCTTGTGGAGCCGGGAGGAAGAGGTCACCCCTGCACCAGGCTGAAATTTTCTCCCTCTGACTTGCCTGCTGCCCATCGCTTGCTTGGCAAACAAGCCATCAGACATGCTGGCACCTTCCCTGGCTCCCCTATGGCAGGGATGACTGCCACGTCCTGCTGGGGAGCCAGGGCAAGTGTGCCCACCCTCGCACTGGCTGGCTCCCCACACCCCAGCGCAGCGGGTGCTGGAGGGCCCCCTGCTCGCTGGAAATGTTTCACTGGCCCACAGGCAGCAATTAACAGCCCTCTGCCACTGCAGACCTGGAGCACCTGCGGTACTGATTAGCATCATTCAGGCTCCATGTGTTTCCCACTCCCATTCTCCTCTGGGATTTCTGCTGCCTGTGAACAAACACGTGTCCCTGTGCTTCCTGCATGGTGGGCTTTGCGGAGAGCAATTCTGGCCCCAAACTGACCATTGCTGGGGTCTTATTTTCCTCTCGGCAGGCTTTTATCTGCAGCATGATGAGAGGTTCTTCCTTCCTTTTATTTATCTATTCTAAGTAATTATATTTATTGCAGAGACCTGTACTTTCTCCTTTGTTCTGTGGGAACCCCTGACCCTGGCTCACATGGAATATTCTCTGCAGCTTCATTTCCCAGGGTTTGACAAAACACCAGGTAACTACGTTTTTATTACCTCTACAGAGAGAGATTATGCCACGGCCTGATAGAATCAAGCCAATCTTTTCCTCCAAAGCTAATCCTGTGTTGCCTGACCGATTGCTTTGGGTAGCAGTTGCCAGTTCAAAGAGCCCCCATCTCCACCGTACCATGCCTCTGGCTGTGCCAACGTGACTGTTGGGGGCTGTGTGGTGAACTGGATCGGAAAGCTGATCTATGTTAAAAATAACCTCAACCAAAGAAAAAGGTTATATTTAACTCCAGTCATTTTCCTGGGTCTGGTTCACTGCACAGACCCGCAAGCAGCAGTGCCGTTACACTGACGGGGTGGAGAGGAGGCGAGGGTGAAGAGGCACGGAAATAGCCATTTCGGCCGACAAGGCTGCAGTTTGATAAGCATTTCTTTAAGCAGCCAAAATTGTGACTTCCATTTCCAGCTGACCGTTTCCCTAGCTCAGCTCCGTACTGTATCAGTCATTCTTCTCTCCCTCCGCACTATCTACACCCTCATGTGTTTGCAGCCTCACGTTTTCCCCTTGGCTGAATTTCTGTCATTTCCCTTTGTAAGCCGGTTCTTCTAGCCCTCTCATCCTTCTTCAACTTTTCTTTGAACTGCCTCGAATGTGCCAGCACTTTCATTGAAGTGGAATTCCCCAGACTGAGCGCAGATTTCCATATGCAGCTGCACCGGAGTCTGCGGCGAGGCCGGTTACCTCTGCGATCCAGAGGGCAGCACCTCCCTGCTTGCCATAGAAACCCCGAGTGTCAGCCTGCCTTTGACGGGCATTACCACCCATCTCTCTTTCAGCACAAGCACTTTCAAATGACTCCTTCCCACTGAATAGCGATGCTGCGGTTTATTTTTTCCCCCAGGAGGCATCTGCTCTTGCCTCCCTCCGTCGTCCTCCCCCTCGCACCCCCCCTCACCTCCTGCTTGATTGGTTTGATGGGCTGATGGTCAGACATCCACCTGGGAGAAAACTCTGTCCGCTGTAGACGCTTCTCCTGAAACAGGGTTGAGAATTGAGGGAAGGAAAAAGAGAGTGGAGGAAATTAGGGCACATTGGTGATACTGGCAGGAGAAACTCTGGGGGCTAGTAGTGACCATGAAATCCCTATTAGCTTTACAAGGGTAGCAAACAAGCAAACTGAACTCCATCCAAGAACATCGCGCTGACTGCAGAGCCCATTTTACAAAGCCATCTAGCTGAAGGATCCTGTTCCAAATCTGTCCCACCTGAAAACATTCACTTGACAGACAATATCCTTCAGAGTTTCGGGGCTCTGACATACCAGCTCAAGTGAACTTAGCTAGGACAGCTAAAGCAGCCACTGCCCCTTCAGCAGAGCCAGCTAAGAAACAGCAGTAAAAGTGAAATCAGAGGCAGTTTGCATAGAAAAGCTAGGCTGTAAATCGCAGCAGTTCAAAAGCAGACAGAGATTCCCTACTAGCAGAAAAGGGACAGAGAAGATGGCTGAAGACAGTAACCCCTTCAGCCACCCTACCTACGTTGCCATGCAATCGCAAACAAGATCCTTAATTATCAACTCTAGCCCTACCACTCCGTGGGGGAGAGTCTTTCTCCCCATACACAAGCTAAACAGCCCTCACATCAACAACACTTGCAGGCTGGAGTAGGGGGGAGCAGGATGGGATGACAGGCTGCTTGGATTTAGCTCTCCTTCAATCAGCGAACATCCATGCTCTTGGAAGCAGTCATAGAGAGGTAAACAGGATGCCATGTCTCCTCACCTTCTGTGCAATCATGTTGCAGATCTCCGGCAGGAAGTCTTCACTCAAGAGTTTGTAGAGCTGCCGCTCTCTAAGGGAAGTCCTCTCTCTGAAGCTCTCTGTGACCTGCCTCCACTCCTCTTCCGTCTGACACAGCAGCCACCATGTCCCACGGCCAGGCCCTTGGGACCCTTCAACAACATGAAAGGATGTTATCTCCACAGCAGTTATGACTAACAACTTTATCCCCTCTCCTCAGGGCTCAGGAAGAGCAAAAGATACTGCCAATGATAACTGTTGTGAGAAACATGCTCTTTGCTATAGACCCAAAGCTCTCCTGAGCCACCAGAAGCCCTGCTACCTCCCCTAGCGACACCGAAAGTGATGCAAAGACACGGAGAAGTACACAGGTGAAGAAGTAATGGTGGCACTTTGCAACACATGGGTAGTGTGACATCCCCGTAGCAAGCCTCCATTCCAGTTATGATAGAGCAAAGAAAAGGATTTGTTTCTTGTAATGGAGGCTGTCAGCCAAAGCAGGACACAGGGTAATGTAAATGTCTGATTTAGTCTGGCAGCAGAATAAAAACATTGAAAATTAACGTTATTTGAAATAAGCCAATTTTTTTTTTTTTAGCACTGCAAACCTTTGCTGCGGTGAATAAAACCTCCCATTCTCCCCAAATGAAACATTTTCTTTGCAGGCACTTGAAAGAACAGAAGAGGAAGTGAAGGATGGGCTTCATCGGGCTGCCAGATGAGGGGGAAGTTCCAAAAGTTCACATCCCATCCCTGCTCAATCCAGAGTGGGATCTGAAGCAGATCTCCCACTGCTCTGAAGCATGTCCCAACTACCAAGACACTGAGCTGTTCCGCCTTGTGTGAAACATTTGAATATTAAATGCGAAGGAAGGAGACTCTCGCGTGGTGGTTGGAACACCCACCTGGAGAAGGGGAATGTGGTTCCTGCTCCACAAATGTTTACACAGAGCAGAGAAGCCTCATGGGTTGCAACTTGCATGCTTTTGCCCCAGGATGCTCTCTAAGCAAAAAACGTGGCCAGTTGTTGGGGAGGGGGAAGACATTGGTTCAAACCCCTTCAGACTGAGGGGTTATCAGCTCCCTCTAGACTTTTCTAGAGCTAACCACAGGCTACTGGAAAGAAAGCAATAGTCACCACCCCCCACTGGCAGATGTCATGCAACTTCTCACCGCATTTTCAAGCAAATTAACTGTGAAAAATATAAAGAAGCAAAAACCAGAGCCCTTTTCTCTCTGAACTTGACCCTGGGCCCTTTGTGGCTTTGAGTTGCCAGTGGCTCCGGCACATGAGCTATCAGGTTGCCCCAGTAAGACTGGAGAGCTGCAGCCTCCCTCCAGCCACCTGCCCTCTGTTGGAAACCTCCCTGCCGCAGTAGCGGCACAGAGCGTGTGCTAGCTCCAGGTCAGCCTATAGCTTAACCCACCCATGGCTTCAGCTCAAGTTAATGCACTGGGAACTGTGATGGTGAAGGACCAACCATGTGCTGGTTTCTGTGGCCTGGGCGAAGCTGTCCCACCTGCAGTGGGGAGCTTACCTGCACGCTGCCCCTAGAGCCTGCCCCCTCCTTTCCCCTTCCCTTACCAGCTGCCTATGGGCTACTCGTTTCAAAAGCAGCCAGGACTGAGGCACTGCTTTGTGCCACCAGAAGATTACTCTGCAGCTGAAGCGACACAATTTGCTGTAAGGCAATGATCTGATAAAACCCTCAGTGCCTCACGCGCTTCACTCCAGCTCTGCCACCCAGCTCTGGAGCAGCCGCCAGGAAATCTGAAGACAAAGGGTGAAGGGAAGGAGGCACAGCAAAGACAATGCCATCCTTGCCTTTTATCGTGGGGCAACGGGCAGGCTGAGGCCATGGGTTATGTGGAAGCCGATGGATGACAAACGAGTCCCAACTCCCTCGGACTCAGTTTCACATTATGTTGCCAACTCGCTTTTTCTGCTTGCCTCGTTAACCCTTAGGTGGGTATTCCCAAGCCTTCATTTACACGGTACTGAGTTCAGCCACCCAATGGCCATCAGGAAGGAGAGGCGAGGACAATCAACAAGGTTCTTCTTCGCTATCTTGGCATCACTAACCCCACTCTCTTGCCAGTCCAAAAAAATGCACCAGCTACTAACAGGGGCTTGTGTTCACCTCATCCGTGGAGGAGCAAGTGCCATTCACAGCCCATTTCCATCAACTTCAGTGAGTAGGTGGGCCCCCAAGGCCTAGTGTAACCCAATACGTTACATTTCTTCATCCCAAACTAATCCACGATAAGATAGGAAGCCCACAGGTGCCCAGGCTCCCAGCTGCAAGGCAGTCTGTAACACCAACCCCTCCTTCCAAACTCGGCCCCAGCCACCAGCAGAAAGACTCTCCCTTTCCTGAGAAAGGCATCTCTCCAGGCTTTGATAATTTAAGAGCCGTGTTAGCTGATTGTATCAACCCTGACCCCGCAAAATCTCTTTACCATTTCTTATCTGAGTCTCACGGATTAGCAAGTTTTCTTCTGCCTTCTCTCTACCAAAAAGAAAGAGAAGGAGTGATACAATAAATACATGACTTCACCAAAATGCAGACGCTTATGAGAAGAATGGGGGATGCGGCAATTATTCAATGCACAGCAAAACTATGAAAAAACCAGCATGCAGAACACATGGTCAATATATATATTCACATATATATTTATCGTAGCCTTATAAAATTTTAAGAAGTGAAGGGCATGGGCTAGAGTTTGTCAAGGACAGTATTTAAATTCTTACAGGAAGCATCCCAAAATCTATACTGACTCAAGCAGCCAGAATTTTTGGCTTCAAGCACTATGCCGTGAAATTCATCTTTATCAGGACCATATCCCTTAGCACTGCACAGGGGAAATGCACTCGAAGTGAGGCAGTTGGAAGCATGATACCCACTGTTTCACCAAACTTGGCTTCCAGCTCAGTCAGAATTTTCTTTGGAGAGTGATCAAAGCATCCACCAAGTCTGAGCTTGCTTCACTTCAGAGATGCATTGAAATTATGGCTGCATGGTATATACATACTTATTGGGGGAACCCCAGAAGTACATTATACTTCCCTCTGGGAACATATGCATTTTACGTCGATTGCAGGAACGACCTTTCCATACCTCAGCAAATTTTCTTCCAGTAGTTTTTTCCGCTTTGGGGGTCGCCCTCGTCTCTTGCCCGTTTTCCCAGGAACATTTGGGGTGTTTGTCTGCCCCCCACATCCCCTGCGAAACAACAAAATCACCATGAAATATCTGCTGAGCGAAGGAACGGCGGCTGGCAGGATGGGAGAAGGGCAGGGAAATCAGAACAGCTGCTAGGAACCCAACCAAAGGAGGGATTAAATCAGAGCAGCGATGGGACGGGGAGGGGAGGAGAGGAGGGATTCCCACTCACTGGGAGCCTGATCTGGGAGCCGCCGGCATGGTGCGGGGCAGACGGGGAGGAATGCGGTGGGGCAGGCAGCATCGCTCCCACAGCAGGCTCTCCTGGTGCCACAAAGGCTGCAGGCTGGCTCCGACACAATGCGCAACGCGGGGCAGCTCGCAGTCTGCTTGGCAACTCCAATCTCGCCCCGCATCACTCCAGCCCTCTCCCAGGACCCCCCTGCTGCCCCCCGACACAACAGCAGTCAGGCGGAGTCCCCTCCAGCCGGGCTGGCTGTGTCCCCCCCCTGCAAACCCCCTGCACCCAGACATGGAGGGCCATGGAAGGGGCCATTACCTGTCTGGAGCCAGCTCTCCATTGGTTTTCCCCTGCACCGGGTCCTCCTTGTACATCCGCGTGCCATAGAAGTACCAGTACAGGGCACCACTGCTGTCCTCGCCCAGCGGCTCCACGCGGAGGCTGTCGGCGTCCAAGCCCTGCCCCCCCCGGGAGCCCCC